GAGGGGTTAACCACACGTACCATGTCTTGATTTGTTTTTTTCAGAACAATCATGCGATGCAGATCTTACGTCATCTGATGATTCTTGCAGGAGTTTTGAATATTTGCATATATATTTCTACATGCATCTCACCATAAATGTCATTAGCGTGTGGAGCGTTACATTTTCATTTTGCACCATTTGGATTACGTGTGCAATATTTGTAATCATTTTTCAGGTGCAAATATTTCATTATCACGTGCAATAATATTTATTAAGTCAATATACGCTGCTCAAACAAATAGAGGGAACACCTAAACAGCACAGTGTAGCTCCAAGTCAGTCACACTTCTGTGAAATCAACACTGATTGTGAATCAGGTTCACCTGCNAGCCCTGTGATAGACTGGTTACCTGTCCAGGTGAACCTGCCTTCACCCTGAGTCAGCTGGGATAGACTCCAGCCCCCCACGACCCTGGTGAGGATTAAGCGGTGTATAGATAATGGATGGATGTTCCGTTTGCAGATTCATCAGGACCAGAAAAAAACGTGTCCTACCTCCTGGTTTCCCATCTGTTCAACTTCCACTGCAGCTGGCTGAAAGACGAGCAAATTAAAGAATGAACCACTAAAATACTTGATTTGTTAATGAATGAAAAGAAATGAAATGAAATGAAATGAAAAGAAAAATACTTTATTTTTCCCAGAAGAGAAATTCAATTAGTTAAATTTAAAATTAACTCGGTAAATATTCAGAGTTTCTGTCACATATACTCACTTTCATGAGAACTGCAGCCTGAGTCAACAGACGAGCACTCAGCTGCCCCGTTTATGCACCGAACACGTGACCACCGGGGTTTCTTTTTAGATGCTGGGCCAAATTCTCTGTTCTCTCTTTTCCTGTTGCTCAGTTTGTTCTCACATTAATAGAGACGGCACTGCTCCAGAACTGAAGCCAATGATGAGGTTCCTCTTCAGAAAGCTGCTGTGCTCTGATCCAGTTCAAATTCTGACTCAGCAACTGCATTCCAAGAGTCACCTCATATCCTCATTAAAGTGAGCTTTAGATCTAGACCTGGTCAGATTTACACACATTGTTAAGGATTTATGTGGGAGGTGTCAGGATGCCTGCTCCACACCCTGATCTACTGCCAGCCTCTGGCAGTCGTGTCGTTACTGAACTCGCTGTGTGAACATGACAAGTGAAACTCCCGTCATGTCCACGGTTACGCTGCAACACACGTCATTGTTGTGTAGATGTTGCAGGGATCTGAGTTTTTGTGTGTTTTGTGAAACGGGTTTTAGTGTGTTTGTGCTTGCTTGCTGCGGCTGCTAGTGTGTTTCAGGCTGGCCGGGGTTTTGGACCGAGCCTCACTCACTCTCCTCTGCACCTGAGGATCATTGGTAATCAGAGCTGGATGAAGCCTGCCTCCACCTGTGCTCCAGCGCCACTGGGTTTTTCCTCCTGCACTGGAAAAAATGCCCTTCTCAAAACAAGAAAAAAAAACTTACTTCAAGGTACTTTTACCTTGAAATAAGTGAAAAAATCTGCCAATAGAACAAATGAAAATTCGCTTGGTAAGATTTCTTAAAATAAGACGTGATATTTAGAATATTGAGATCTTGAAATTAGCAGGTAAAATTTATTTGAAGCTATATTTTACCAGTATTTTCAAGCTTGGTGTCTTGGAATAAGCCACAAATGCTAAAAAAAAAAAAAAAGTATTTTTTCACTCAAAACTAGATTTTTGCTTTAATAACTTTCATCTCAACTTCTCCATTTGAGATATATTCAGCTTATCCATCCATCCATCCAT